TGGATCTGCTGAACCAGTGACTAAGTATCTCTCCTCTGGGTCAACATCCATTGCCCAAATTTCACTGTGGTGTCCACTAATTATTTGCATACAGTGCTGTGTTTCAAGATCCCATACTCTCAAAAATTTGTCTTTTGAGGAACTAACAAGCTTTTTACTGGACTCCAAGAAAACAAGGTCAGTAACCTGCAAGATGAAAGTGACACAGACGGAAATGAACTTTATGCCGAACAATTACAAAAATGAACCAAGTAATGGAAACAATATTGCCCAACTAAAACAAAAGGATGTAGAAACAAACCTGGTCACGATGCCCACGAAGGCGAAAAAGGCCTGTCTCTCCAACGACATCCCACAGTATAACATCATTATCTTTACTTCCAGATGCAAGCAAAGCCCCAGGCTTATTATACCGTAAAACAGTTACTGCCCCTTTGTGTCCATTCAGTGTAGTCTCACAGGTTCCTTTCTCACTATTCCAAATTCTTATACTACCATCAGCATATCCAACTGCTACCTGCATTCAAATTCAATTAAGTTGCTTCCACTCTACCCTCCATCAACCAATTTATGAAAACATACCCCTAGGTATTCTTAAAAGATTCCAAATTTTAAAGATATCAAAAACCATAAAGCCAACCAATTGCCATTTCCATTTACCAAAAAAAAAAAAAAGGTGAGACTTGAAAAATCAGAAATTCGTGATCATCTCAGCAAGATAATAAGCTTAAAATAGCTAAAGTCTATAACCCATTTTATCCTTCAAAAAGAAAGGGAAAACGGATAAAACTTTTTTAAACCCCAGTTTCTCTTGATACGCAAGATTCCATTTGTCCATTAAATTGACTAAATAGAAACATTATCAATATTCACTTAATTTCAACCAGGATTATTCAATCTCAACAACAAAATAAAAGAGGAGAAAAAAATTATACCAGAGAAGAAGAAGAAGGAGAGGGTGCGATAGATGTGACAGCGAGAGAAGGACCATTGCGAGACGAAGAGGTAGAAGGAGCTAGGGTTTTGGTGCAGATGCCTTGACGAGCGTGCCAAACACCGACCTTCTCGAGTGCCGGTGTGAGTAAGTGCTTCCCTGAGCTGTCGTATGCTATGTTACCATCAACTGATGCTATTACACCAAACGATAACGCTGGTTCGTACCTTAGGTACGACTTCACCATTGCTGCTTTTGCTTGCTGCTATGGCTGCTGCTGCTGCGTTCTATTTAGTTTCACAGGTCCTTGAGGTTTTAAGGGTTTAACAACTTTTGTTTTTCTTTTTCTTTTTTCCGCTGTATGGGGTTAGGGAATGGAGAGTATTTATTTTGGGCCCAGGTCAACTACCTTGGACAATAGCCCGATAGATATCTTGTAGGCACTCTCTGGCCCGGTTCTTCTATGGTCCAAACAAGTCCATCTTGTTACATGGTTTTGCTTACAACCACTAATCAAACTTTCAATTATACCATTTAACTTGTCTACTTACAAAATTGGTGCTTTCTTTTTTCTTTTTTCTTTTTTTTAACAGCCAAGGTATTCTTTACCTATAACAGAGTAAATTATAAATTAGTCCCTCTTGTCTTGAGAAACAAATTAATTAATCTTCCTGATTTCAAAACCCAATCATTTAGTCATTTTTCCTATTTTTTTATTTATTTTGATTTTTAAAAATAGAAAAGAAAAAATATGTAAAAATTATGAAAATATTGATGAGAAAATATTACATTTTATAAAATAAAAATATTAAATCAATCGTCATCAATGCTAATTAAAAATATTAAATAATTAAGTTTTGAAACCGAGAGGACTAATTAATTGGTTTCTCGAAAAGAAAATGACTAATTTATAATTTACTCTTCATACAACACCAAGTCTATTTTTCTTAGAACGATTAGAGGCAAACTATTTATCGAGACCATGAGATTTATGAAAATTTTACTTTGTACAACATAATCTAATATTTGAATTTAATGGTTAAGAAGAGAATATATTTTTTAACCATTAGGCTAATCATTTACTTTTTTTTTTTAACAGCAATACAGATTTATCCCCAATCCATTTTTTTTCCGAACGAAATTGGAATTTATCGTAGTTCAAATTCATCTGACTCTTTTCTTTCACACAATGAGAGATACAACTTGGAGTAATAAACTTTCAGTGCTTACTATTACATTTAGTGGCGGACGTAAGACCAAATATACAAGAGGGCCAAAATAAATATTTATAAATTTATCATAATTTACACAAATTTATATATATTATAAATAACATACCAATATATATTTTAAAATAATCTCAAAATACAATCACTAAAAATAGAGATTTTCGTTCTTTCAAGTCACGAAAATCATCTAAGCGAATTTATACTAAATTTTCAGCATTTCTTTTCAATATATACTAACAAACAAACGAAAAGAAAGTCATCTTCCATCTTGTTATGAAGTTTAGTCTTGACTATGCTCATAGCCGAGAATGACCGTTTCGTGTTAGCCGTATAAACTAAAAGGGTAAGAATAAGTGTTATCATTCTATACACAAGTGAATAATTTTCAAATTTTCTTGTCTTCATTAAGTATTGGTATAAATCAGATATAGTTAACAATATTTTAAAATTAAAAAGATTTCGTACATGATCAAAATGCTCAACTTGCATCCTTAATTGTAGCATTTCATGATCAGCAAAGTCTTAATGGTAAAATTTCTACACCAACTTACAAATGTCATCAATTTTAAATGATATGAGCATCTCTCTAGGATTTAAAGCCGAACTAAGAATGAGTAACTTTATCGTGTGATCATTGAATCTATTATTTAGTTTTTGCAATTGAGCATTTATCACGAGTATTAAATATGTCAATTTTGCAATGATGCTCAACTATAATTGCACTAAACATATTCATCAAACCAAAAGCAAATTTTAGATGAAAACTCTAACAAATATCCCTAATCCTTTTGTAATATCTCGAACCCATTATTAAATGAATTAAAAATATATTAAGTATGCAAGAAAACTATTCCGTAGGCATAAGGTAGTTGCCATGAGGATGCTAGAATACTTGATGTGCTTAGGATAATTTTCATGTACCGGGTGAATATTTTATCCGTTTTTCGATGCATGAAAAGTAATTTTTTATGCAAAATAAATGTTTTGAGTACTTTAAATGTGCATAAAAAATGTTCTGTTTGCATAGAATATTTGCTAGAGGAGTGCTAGATTATTCCGTGCCATTGAATGAATTTTCCGATGTTTAGTGAATATTTTTAGTGCATGAATAGTGCTTTTTTTGTGCAAATTAAATATTTTGAGTATTTTAAATGTGTTTCAAAATTATCCAATAGGTATAGAAAAATCATTTAGGAGATGTAGGAATATTCTATGAACATAGGTGAATTTTTCTGTGCATAGGGAATATTTTTTGTAGAAATAAGTGTACCCTCAAATTAATTATTTTATGTAAAAATACACTCATTTATTCATAGGTTAATTAAAATTCCAAGTGAAGCATTCTCAAAAAAAGAAAAAAATACCAATTTAAGCATGAATTAGGATGGTTTCATATTGAAAATGGAATCGTGATAAAATAAAAAAGATGATAAAAGAGTATGACATGGGGTGTTTTATGGGGGGAAAAATGGAGGGAAGGGGGGCCAGGCCCTGTAGCATTCTACTTGGGTCCGCCCTTGACTATATTATCTTGAATAACCTATTTATATAGTACCCTTTATTGAACTTAATTAAATACATATTGACGGTTTAAGTTATCCAATTTATCAAACTAGTTTATCGGTTTCAAATTGCCTAATCTGCTCATACCAAACCAATTAGAGACCCCTTTTTTTTCCTCCTTTTCAACTAACCAAAAAATGGAGACTTTAGCACCACATTAATTAGGTGAATATAAGTCATTACCCTCACCAAAGAGCTGACCAATTCCCTCAAGTAAGACTAGTTCCCTAGTGTCTTCGTAGAGCTTCACTTTCATCTAACGAAATTTGTTCAATTTGGGTCGGAACTTTCCATGCATTTTTCTTCAATATTCTTTATTTATAACTTGGTACGTTTATAATGCATGCCTCAAAACAAATTGATCATCACCGATCACTCTTATAGCTAGTTGAGGTTCCAAAACAAATAAACAAAGATATGTTATATTTAAAATACACATGTTGGATTAATGTTGTAGCTTTTCACTGAAAGTGCCAATTACCCGAAAAGATTATCATCACAGAAAGCAACAAGCCAACATGGCTGTAAAATGAAAGGGGAAAAAAATGTTAGTCAATAAAATATGTGAAATTAGGCTTTCAAAAGTCAATCCTATTAAACTACCTGATAAGGCAACAAGTTGGTGGATTTCAAACAAATCCAGCAACGCAAGCCACTGCACGAGCGAAGGATAAACAAAGTTAGTTTTTATAGTGCCATTTCCACTGTATTACGTACGTACCAGTCTATTATTTTTATTGCCACCCCAAAAGAAAATTCCTGACCAAACATATAATAAATATTTGTTGTCAGAATTTTTCTGTTTACTTGCTTTTTTTTTTTTTTTAAGAAAAAACTCATCATCGTTGCTGGCTGAAATGAATAATTTAACTTACAGATAGTAACATATATATTGATGAAAGAAATCTTTTTAAAAAACAATTGAATTAATTAAGGAACGTCGCAGATCAACTTAACTTATATAGAGTTCTCGAATGGATCAATTATTAATTAGACTTCATTTAATTACGGAGAAGTCTCTGTAATTAACAGATATAATGATCGATCAAATCTTTTAGAGGAACATAATTAATGTACGATTAAGGCTCTTTATTTTAATACTCTTTCAACATTTTGAAGTTCATCGGAGCCGGTTTAAACAACGTTGGACAACATCATAGGGTTTTCTGAAGGGGAAAAAAAGCCTGTTAATGGAGAAAGATCTCCTAATTCTGCATAATTTCGAACGCTGTCAATATGTAATCGAGAAAACTAGAATATAAATCAAAAAATTGTTAATCGTTCCCTTGAAGAAACAACCAAATTGGTGGGCTGATGATCACAAATACACCAACTCGTTTCAACATACGCCAGCTAACGGGATAACGTTGAACAATCAGAACCAGTAGCATCGGTGGGGCATGGATGTATAATAAGTATTTTTCGATCTTGAAGTTCAATCGATCATATAATTCTGCAGGCCGGTTAGCAGAGCTGAATGGATCGATCCGAGTAAAATGTAAATGATGATGGGCAATAATATACAAGCAACTTGAGTAGTGATCGAACTAATCATTGCAATGGTTGGTGACAACTGGAAAGGTCTTATGCTGCAAACACGTAGGCCAGATCCATTAAACGTGTTTTCATCTTTCTTCACTACGATCAAATCTAAGGGATCCGTTTTGGTGCTTCTTTATCTACTCTTAACTTCTAGCTAGCTACTTCTACAGATCTTATAATTTGTGTATGTATGACAATACGCTAGCTGCTACCTTGTTGCGATGCAAATTCTCTTGTTCACCGTTTTCAATTCATTTATTTAGATCTTATCTAAGAAGAGAGTATGCTATAAGGTAAATAGATATATTTATCTTTATATACTAGTTTGAGTTTTCAATTTATTTCTATATTTTTAATTATATTTATCATATTAATATTGTTTTAGTCTCTATTGTGTACTCTTTTAATTAGTTTTTTCCATCTTAGATTTTGATGAAAATGTTGTTGATTGAAATACAAAATAAATAAATAAATAAATTTAAAATCACAAAACCTACATATTCAATTTTTAAAATCTTTAAACTTTTTTATTATTTTTTTCATTTTAATTAGAAGTCATTTCGATTGAAAAAAACTGTCTATAATCATAAAAATAATTAAAATGACATATTAAATACTTAAATATTATTTAGTGACATAATTGATGCAATTAAAAACATAAAAATAGATTAGAGGATCAAGTTATTATATAAAGATAGGTTGATCTATTTGTTATATATATATATATATATGATTGAAGTAAAAAGAAAATAAAAAGAAAGGATCAAATTGTAAAGTGTGTGCATGCGCGGCTTGAAAAGGAAAGAAAAGTTGTTTTTGCTACTGCCAGCAGGTCAACATTTGAAAAAAGGAAGTTGTCTTCTTCTTCTTCGTTTTTTTTTATGTACTGGTACCGAGAAGAGTAACGATAGAGGAAAAAGAAAAATAAGGTTTTTCTTTGATTTTGTTGATTTCTGTAACAATAAAGCAACGGGTTTTTTTTTTCATAAAATATTAGATTTTTCTCTAATGTTGATTTTTTTAGTACTACGATTATAGAGAATTGTAGTGTGGTAGTATTCAAAGTGAAAATCGCACATAATATTAAATTTTGCATAAACAAAAAGATTTTACAAATTTTAGGTTTTTGTGATGAGACAGATTCAGTTGAAAAGATAACTTATATTACTATCAATATTTTTGTTTCTTAAGTTCATATAAGAAATTTTAGTAGTTGTATTGTTTTTTAATTATAGTGAATTATTTTAAAAATAATCCTATGGCTTTTTTCTTTCTATGATAGAGAGTTTTTTTTTTTACGTAAATTTAGCATTTTGTGATTGATTTATTTTATTCTCTTAATCCTTGTGTGTGTTTGACTTGATTATTTTTTTAAAAAATCTAATTTGTGTGAAGTGGGATTAAATTCCTAACATAAGTTGTGTGAAAGGTTCTTGAAAACAAATCAATGACAGAGTTAGTAAATGAGTCAAAATGTTAGGAGCTAATGTTATGATTTGTAAAACCGTATAGCATACCAATTAGGTATAATGGATTCAAATAGTAAAAGATGTGAGGAAAAAAGAAGCTATAATAACAAGACGTAGGTATTAGTTGAAGTGTTAGGAGCTAACGTTATGATTTGTAAGAACAATGTAGTATACCAGTCATGTAGAATGGATATAAATAATAAAAGGTGTGAGAGAAAAAATAAGCAATAATAGCAAGACGCAAGTAGAGTAGTAGGCGGATCAAGGGTTAAAGTCCACAAATGGAGCTTTGAGAATCATGTGGTGTGAAGTGAGAAAGCTTTGTTTAGCCAAAAAGTTAGATCCCCTCACAATTGAGGTGATGTTGGATTTTTAATAAAATGATAATGGTTTTTAACCATTAGGATTTTGTCCTTTCATTCAAGTTTGAATGGTAGGATTTGAGCCAAAAAAAAAAAGATCAAAAAGAAGATAAGCTCTTTTGGATTAAATTGTTTCAAATTGTTAGCAAATGCTATAAAAAAAAAAAAAAAAAGTAACAATTAGATCTTTTTTTAGCAAATCTTACTTTAAATCTACTAAATCAGTCTCCTTAATGCATTTTAAAGATGAGGCATAGACTATATATCCCTATCGAATACTAGTATCTATCCTTGTGCGACTCAAACCTCATGTTCGGCGAAGCTTTTTGTCAATCCAATTTATTTGTTATATGGCTTGAATTCATGCCAAAATAGCAACAACAAAAAATAACCATCATGAATTAGCACATAAATAATTAAATTACTTAGTTAATTTATAGGGTTTACCCCCACGTTTAGTCCCTATATAGTTTTAAATTTTTGTTATTGAGACCCTCTATTTTTTTCAGCTTGATTGAAACCCTTTACTTTTTGAAATTTATTAATTTAGACCCTCTATTATAACGCTATCAACTACTCATCCGACATGGTATATTACCATTAATGATAACCAATTATTGAATGACACATGGTAAAATGGATCCCAAAATATAATATTTCTTATTGAATTAAAAAAATAAATTACAAACTGATTTGAATAATAAATTAATACAAAAAAATATGTAAAAAGACCTAAACCCTCTCCCCCTCTTCATCATTAATAGCAATAGAACCCATAATTCGACAATGAGAGAATCAAAGACAAATATTATGGCGTTGTGTATGCAAAAATGTTTATTATAGATCATTAAGAATCACAATTTATAAATTGAATGTTCGTCAATTTAGTAATCACAATTGATCCACAACAAAAACAATGGCTACCGGAAAGCAACCCAAAAAGCCACAAACAGACTAGCTAATAAATCCTTTAGAAATAGTCAATTGTTGTAGAAGATCCGACTCGACAGGACCCTCAAAGCAAGAAACCAAAAAAAAGATCAACAATGAGAGGAAAAATAGTAGGATGAGAAGAAAACATCGGGAGCAAATCCAAGAATATCAAAAACAATTGGCCCATGGCATCGAAACAAGAAACCAAAGCAGACGACTGGAGATACCCACCTTCTCGCGAAACATCACCACCATGAAGTGAAACAAAAGACCCGCATCGGGATCCAAAAACTCCTTCGTGCAAATAAATCCTTTTAAATCCCCCTTCCTTATTTTCATCCTTACCTTCTCTCTCGGACCATTTCCATGCCAATTGCCGCCCCCACCAATTCCAAGTAGTGCTAACCGCCTCCCCAGCTCCTTGCATGAGACCGCTATGGCGTCTCATGCTCAAAATATCGCCTTGGGAAGCCGGGTGGGGCATATCCTTTTCCATGCTCGTTGTCGGCATGAGATCGGTGGATTGTGCAAATTGTCATTGGAGTTTCCACCACCAGCCTCCGATGTGTAGTCCTCACCTTCTCTTTGTACATTCTCTTCATCCCACTCGCTCAATCTTAAAGTGAGGTTCTCGCTGTACTAAACATGCTACCAAAATTGGGAAAAAACATGTTTCATGTCGGGTTTCCATGGATAGATCATATTAAAATCCCTAATTTCTAATTGGGATTTTAGGAATTTGAAAAATTTAGAATTTATTTAGAGAGAGAGATAACATGTTTGAGAGTGTTAAGGAATAATTATGAAGAAGAAGAAGAAAAAAAAGAGAGGAAGCTTAGGCTTTCAATCATAGGACAAGAAGTGAAGCAAGGGATTGAACAATTTCGAAAGCTTAGGATTTCAATCGGAATGCAACGATTTGGTCTCTATTTAGAAAGAGACTCGTGAATAGAGAGCGATGGATTTTAGAATAATAAGAAGAGAGCAAATTTGTCTTTATAATTTATTTTCTTAATTCTAAATATTAGTTTATTATTAAAAAGATTTTTTTTTTCAATTTTGGATGGCCAAATTGTTATTTGAAACCCCTAACACCACGTGTCAATCAATGATTTGTGACTATTAATTATTATATAGCACGTTAGATGAATAGTTAACGAGTTGTAATTGAGGGTTTGAATCAATAATTTTTTAAGAGTAGAGGGTTTCAATCGAGCTAAAAAATTATAAAGGGTCTCAATCAAAAAAATTAAAACTTTACGAGGATCAAATGTAAGGTAAACCCTTAATTTATATGGACAAATCGAGAATATGCATAATCACTAAAGAAAGTATTTTGATGAGAAATAGCTACTTAATACAAATATTTATCTAAAAATAAAGTTGTTTATGGGCTTACATTCTCATATATAAAATTTATAATTGTGTTTCGCTTTGGATATATATATATATATATATATATATATATATATATATATATATATATATATATATATATATATATATATATGTGAACTAATCATTTTTTTTTTTGGTGCACAAATCTAAAAAATGACTATATAATCTCAATTTTGTTTCTAAGTTTTAAAATTTTTTAATTAAATCTTTCTATCATTTATATAGATAATCTCAATTTTGTCTCAATTTCGTCTCCAAGTCTTGGAAATTTTAATTAAATTTTTCTATTCATATTTGGTCATAAAATTTGTTTTTTTATAATAAGAAACATTTTTTTGTAGGAAATTCAATGTTTTATTTGTTAATGGATATTAATAAAATGACTCGATTAAAAAGATCTAATTATTTGAGGAGAAATTAATATAAAAAATCTTTTGAAGATAAAATCGACACTATCGCAATAATTGGAGGTTATGTTTGAGGTTTGCCCTCATTTGGTTTAATGGAAAAATTGCCCCCAAACTATTAGATTTTGGCAATTTTGGGTCTTCACTACTAATTTAGGTTAATTGGATCCCAAATTATTATTTTTTTGGCAGATTTAATTCTTGTATATCCATTATCTTTAACGGTTAAAGGTTTGATTGTTAACATTCCAAATTTTTCCCTTTAAAAAAATAGTTAATTTGGTCAAAATATAGTTTACACGTAATTACATGATGACTATTAGTTAGATTTCAAAATTAACAACACTTATCAATTTTTTTTAAATACAAATAATCAAATAGAAAAATATAAAAGTACATATCTAAATAAAAAATAAAAGTACAAACACTCAATTAAAAATAAAATAAAAATATTCATACTCATACGGTGGATAGATCAGAATGTTAAAATGTCAATTTAATGGTTATGCCAATATGAATTTAAAAAAAATATTTGATTAATTTTTCTTTTAAACTTACATTAACAACAATCTATTTAATACTAGATTTAAATATTTTATTTTATTTTTAATCTAGTCAATTTAATGATTATGTCAACATGAATTTAACAAAAATACTTTATTAGAAAAATTTAAATATTTACATTAACGATAATTTTTGTTAACATGAGTATGAAGATTTTATTGTATTTCTGATTGAGTGTTTGTATTTTTATTTATTTATTTAAATATATTTTTTATTTATTTGATTGTCCGTATTTTCAAATTCTTTTGACAATTGTTGTTAATTTTAAAATTTAACGAATTGTCACTATGTAATTTTATATAGATTATATTTTGATTAATTTAACGAGAAAAATAAAATGTAAACGGTCAAAAGGTTGACCATTAAACATAACGATTGAAAATCACATTTATCAAAAAAATAATAATAATAATAGCTTAGAATCCAATTAATTTAAATAGATAGTAAAAAGCTGAAGTTGTCAAAACTTAGTAGTTGGTGGCAATTTTTGCTGTTAATCAACAAAATGACATAATTAATGTTCATCTTCGTGAAAATTGACTAGAATGAAAAAAAGAAGAAGATATATATAATTAAAAAAAAAAGAAGAAGAAACATAAAGACATAAACATTCACATCTTTTTTTTTTTTCCATTATAGTCAATCTCACGTTCACCGTAAAAAACTAGTATTGTACATATCGTAATAAATTAGTTCAGCTAGCTGATAATTTTATGAATACATACAGAAGTCTAAAAAAATAGTTTGAAAAGAGGAAAGCGTACTGATCTTTTAACAAACCCTCGATCCAAGTATTCAATTGACATAAATGATATCAATCTTTTTCGGAATAGATTTTAACCTAAAAAACACGCTCAAATGGCTACGGCAATCATATTTATGTAGTGAGCTTCTGAATTACACTTTAGAACTGTTTTGTGATCCAAACTTATATAACAGGCCAAGATTGCTTATGGTTAGGAATTATAACTATTCTATTTTTTTTCTTTTCTTATTGTTGTTTAGGTTTTGATTATTTCTAGATTTAAGGACGATAAAATATTGCTTTCTTACTTCGTCATTGTGCGTTTGGAGTAAACTATTTAATCTAGTTTTTGGCATTTGATCATTAATTATTGTTGATTAAAAAATTTAAATTTGAGAATTCTTCAACAATTTGGGTTGCCGGCATGAGAGTATCATGGTGGGAATGGAAAACTTGAAAAAAAGACAATATAATATGCTATATGGAGAAATTTTATAATATTCAAAAAATAATTAATGTATATATATAGTAATTATTTTATAAATCAATTTTGAAGAAAATCATATTTGAATTCATCGAAACTAATAAGAAGATTTTCAAGTTTGTTTAAATTTTTTTAATAATTTTATTTCTTTAATTTTCTCTTCTTTTTATATTTATCTCTTTTTAGAGAGTAATTTATATTAATTATTTCTTAAGTATTATAAATTTTGACATAGCTGCAGTTATATACCGACCAGAGCCTCTAGAGTATATTTTAATTCAAAGTCTTTGATATTTTGGTACGACCAACTCCAAAACTTATATTGCCAAGAATATATTTCTGCTTTTGTTACTAATTGAATATTTTTATGACTCTGAAGATGTTATATATATATATATATATATAACTAGTTCATTACCCTTTACGAGTATTTTGCTTGTTATTATTAGCACCGGCGGAGTAATAATTAGTTGTTCGTAGATAGATATATTCATACTAGTAGTGTTTTTCCATAAGAAAACAATTATGAGCCATCTAATCACACAATTAATATGGGAGTTATTAATTAATGGGTTTTCCACATCTATCAGCTTATATTTTTCTCGTCATTTGTTTTTTTTTTTTTTTTGTGAAGTATTAATTAGTCTATTTATATTATCCAATATCAGAATCCTGGAGATACTTTTTACTATCAAAAAATGTAAATGGTATATAATGGTTATTTTGACTCATTTGCTGTTTTTTCTATTTTTCAAAAATTATTTCTTGAATTTTTTTTTTTTTGAAGTATCCCATAATTGCGGAATCTACATGCTCAGTGATTACCATCCAAATATGCAACACAAATTTAAAAATAAATAAATGAATAAATAAATAAAAACTTGAAGACTCTATTCAGTCTATCCACGTAATTGCCAGTTTAGGTAACCCAACATTTCCACCAAACTGGCGGGTGATTGCTTTTGGACAAATATCTGGATCACATTTTGCCAAAAAAAAAAAAAATGTAAATATGTGATAGTTTTTACTCTTTACCTGCTTCTATAACAACCTTTTAATTCCGGTTGAGTTCTGAAAATAAAATACGCTTAATTAATTAAAAATGCATTGTGGCACTTTTATAGAGGTTCGGTGTAAATCAACTTGCTGTAACAAAATTACAAGTTGTAGGGCATAGAAAACTTAGATTGACTCAGGCTCTATAGAGCAACGAGTGACGTGGCGTGCACCAAACGCCAATGGTTATTTAAAAAAATAAAAAAAAGTAGTGGAGAGCATTTGGAATCTGCGTTAAAAAAAGACAAAAATCTAAGACAGTTTCATTTTATATCATTTATTTTATTATTTGAGAGCTTTTTAATAGCGGCTGTAATATTGGTACGAAAACATACACCATTACCGCTGTCATTATCCTCGATACGAAGATAATAAATTATACATAAAACTAAAATGAGACATAATTTTATTATTTATTTATTATTTAAAATATTATTTTTAGATTCATAAATCATTATTCATACACTCACAAATCACTATTTATGTTATTTTTTTAGCACTTTATTCCTCAAATTTTCTATACTTTTTTATTTTAATTTTAAGCTTTAATTGTATTGTGATTTTATCCTATTTTATTTTAGTGTTTTCTTTTAATTATTATTCTTTTTAAAATTTACTATTTTAAGTTTGTCATTTTTTTTAATATAGTAATACTTTATTAATATTGTGATCATATTATAATAATATTATTTTTCTATACTAAGAATTAACTATTTATTTATTTTTTTAATTAAATAATTAAAATAATGTTTTGGCTTAACCACTCAATGATTCAAATTAATATAGTTTTTTATTTTAATATTCTTCATTCTTTTTTAAATAAATATATAAAAATTAAATTC